TAATTTAAGTCATTACTCAGATGTAATTTCTTCCTAGGAAACTCAAAGTAAATCTGATCACAATTATTGTTTAAATTAAATGGCTTTTGCATATTATGTCTCAACAACGACGTGACAAGCAAGGAAGGCTTTTAAGAACACAAAAAATAAATGGACATAAAGTTATTGTAACTCATATGGTATCATTGAGAGTCAAATATACTTCCTTGAAACCTTTGTCTAGCCTGACGAAACTGCCCGTGTCTGTTTTTATATGTTTGAAAATAATAAAAGGAGCCATCTTATTCATACTCAGTATTCATTGTGTTTTTGGGGTGTTTCCTGTAGTTTGTTGAGATCCTCATTCCTAATATACCGAATTGCTGTTTCCTTGGAAAGAATACAGACTAAAGCCATTTTTTTTCTTCAATATTTAGTGTTACCTGTACCAAAATGGACCAAAAGGAGTTTTGCTCAAGACAGCATCAAGTATTGCAGTGATGACACATGTTTGTCTCATCACATATTTACTTGCAATAATAGGCACTGATGGTCTAAATGGGTGATCACAGTTGCCCCCCCGCACAGTTTTGCTGACAGATTATCTCTTAGAGGCAAAGTACAGAAACACCAAAGTTATGGCAACCACAAAAGTTACCACTTGTAACTAATCAACGTTGATTGTTGGCTCAAAAGGATGATGTGCCAATTTTTACCTAAAACAAACACAGCTCTTTTCTTTGTGAGCAGAGTTTTGATAGGGCATTGCAAATGCTAACGATGCATCTACCATATTATGTTATGAAGTTTAGTAGAAACAGTTCATTCTTGATTTGTGACGGTCCAGGTGGTCATGTTTTATTTTTTCCCCCAAGGACGTTATGTACTGGTTTTATCTAAAGTTATTGTAACCTCCCCTATGACTGAAATACACTTTAACAAGGCAATCAGGAAAAAACAAAAACAGCTGGTCCAATGGTGTGCGTTTCCATACGTTTTTTTGTTGTTGTTGCTTTATTTAGTTTTTAATACTTTGCCAAGTGTAAAGATAACCATGGAGCTAAATTATGTCTTAAATATATAGATTTCCTTCCTGCTAAATGTCAAAAAGCTCAAAGATATTAAGTTTACAGTGAAGCAGAAACACAACAAAACATCCTCACACATAAGAAAAGGCATTTTTACAGTAACTTAAATGATTAAGCAACTGCCACAACTTGAGAATGTTTGATAAGTGTTTAAGCATTTATCAAAAGTACATTTTAGAGAATGCAGTTTTCTAAATTACAGGTATGTATGTCATCCAGCTTCTAGTTTAAAGACATTTACTCTAATGTGTTATTGTCTCTTTTAAACCAGTTAAGCCCGAGCCTGTTTTTCAGGCCTCAGGCTCGAAAATGATATTCCCAGAACAAATTACTATAACTTCACTTCTAAAAGGGGTAAATTAATAATCTTTTTCTCAAAGCAATGACAAACCTGTGAGTTGGATGTAGAAAAGTAAATTCAGATTGAACATTATACTGTTACAACAAAATGTAAATTATAGTGTCCGTCCAAAATAAAAACATTACTTATAGTGAAAACCACCCTTGAATGATGGGATAGTAGACTAAAAGCTTTAGGAATCCAACATATAATAAGTACCCTGTATCAAGATTGATGCAAAACAAGTGACATTTGACCTTTTTAGAGAGGTTTAGCAAAGAAAAAACACCTTTGGGGTCATTTGGGTAGATTTAGGTGGATTTGACGTTTCTCTGGAACCCATTGGTCGATTTTGGTGATTGACATCTCTTTTGAACCGTTAGAGTCAATAGAATTGAAGGGGAAGTTCCACATACACATACCATTGAGGAGTGAGTGTGACGTGCATGCAGTCGAAAGCTATGTTACGCTCTGAAAACTGAAACCTAGGCTCAAACTAGTAAATATGAAGATGGATTATCAGTAATCATTTCAAAGTGACAGACACATTGGATTAACCTTCAGCAGCGTTTTAATGCCATTGAACACAACTTTTGATCAGAACAACAACTAAGGTAAGAATATCTCCGTGTTTCCTCCGTGAAGCTACGTGTTGTGATGTCTGTGTTTGCTTCCCCTGTCGCGAGTTCTGATCGTTCAGTGATGATACTTATATGTCTGGAATCTGTGGAGTCTCAGCATGCCAATCGATATATTGTTTGTGCAGATCCGATAAGTAATAGGGGTATTTTATCTTGAGTTCTGTGCTGACTGCGTTAGGGCTAATTCAGAGCCTTTGTGTTATTACCCTTATGTTTCATTTTGCTAAAAATGGTTAATATTGTCCGATAGCTGAGTTTCTTCCCGTTAAGTGGTTATGACACATTCATCGTTTATTAAATGTTAAGAAGCCCTCAGACGCTGTTTCTTGTTGCGTCATTCCCCCGGCTTACAGCTTCCCACAAAAATCTAAATCATTCCAACACAGGGGCTTTAGTGGCTAACTGTATTGTATATGGTCTGCTTGCGTTGAGCTACATGTACCATTGATTTGTTGATCGGGTAACACACTGAGAAACCTGAATGAGCGCTATTGGTGGGTCTGTTCCATTAGGCCAGGGGTGGGGAACCTCCGGCCTCCGGGCCGTATACGGACCGCGAGACCATTTGGTACGGCCCTCGAGGTCATTTATAAACACACGCAAATAAAAAGAATTAAAGAAATCTAGACCGCAAAAGAATTAAACAAGCGAGTGCCTGTTTTTCCTGGCCAAGGTCAGGGTCCTTGAACACAAAGGGGAGTGATTTGTAAAATATCCATAAAGAAAAAGAAAATCTGCTTACAGTTCTGTTTCAAATGGATATTGAGAGATGTATCCATAGAGCTCTGAATTTTGCTCTCAAAGTGCACCAGATTGATGCTTTTAACTTCAATATTTGAATGCCCCTGGACCCCCCTAGAGGAGGTTAGGTCCCCCCCTCTTAAATCATGTTCACATGGATAGGAAACTAAATACATTTGCACACATCTTGTGTCCATATCTTTCTGTTTTGGTGGTCATGCCACAACCGTGCACGTGCATTCATGCGCGAGTCATGGTATCTGGATATCAAAGATATCTGGATTAAGAGGTTGCTTTTTCTTTGCACAGCATGAAAGAAAGGTGAAATGAAAGGGCTGTGATTTTAGTTTTTTTAAGCAGAGGTTGAGTTCAATAATTTGTACGGCCCTCGGAGGATGTTGTAACATTTGAAATGGCCCTTGAGAGGAAAAAGGTTCCCCACCCCTGCATTAGGCGAACAGAAAGATGCTGCTGTAGCTCTACTAGTGTAGGCTGACTAGATAATAAAACAAACCCCGCTCCTCTCAGCACAAGAAAGAAAGAACTACACTGCTATTGTTTGACACAATGACAACATATTATGTAATACAGTACAGTGTGCATATTTGAGGTCAACTACATTACCACAGGCTAAAGAAACACCAAGTATTTTTGAAAAGACGAGAGTAGAATTTGACTTAATAAAATCTGTAATGCCATTTAAATTAAATTAACATAATTCATGTTGTGTTATTTACACAATGACTTTTACACCAATGGGGTAAAATCTAATAAGAAAGTGTCCATAAATGTAGTTTTGATGTGTTTTTCCTCCACTACACCCCTGGTACAATATCATTTAGGCAGGAAATATTGATTTTAGATTAGGTCATCAGATACTGGAACAGATGTATAAGAAAAAAAAACTAGTACATTTTAAGCAAATATTACCAATTAATTCAAAACACAATATGCACCAAAAATCAGAGAGAACATGTGGAAATTACAATAGCGGAGTATTGAACTATGAATTGGAAACTCACCAGAAAGTAAATTGAAATCGCTGTAAATGTAAACATACTGTGGTTGAGACCAAATGGACATTGTACGGTGATTATTATATAATGGACAGAAATAGCAACTAGTAGCTTCAGAATTTGTATAAATTCTGTATTGATTACGAATGATAACCTGTTCATTCCAAAGTAAGTTATTACAAGAGCTAGTTTGGGGGATAGACAAAACCATCCCAAAGCATTAAACAAAGTGTAAAGCTATCAGGTCAATCTTCAGATGTCCCTGCTACCATATTAATCACTTGCAAAGGTCCTTCAGTCCCCAATCACCAACAAATCTTCTTCTATAAAGTGAAGTGAAATGACCATTTATGCTTCTTTATTTTCTAACAGCTTTTCCCCATTTATTGATGTCCTTGTATTCATTTTTAGTTTTTTATTTGTTTCACTCTCAGTGTCATAACCATTGCTCAGGGTTTATTGACCAATATCCCCCTCAAATAAGCCCAGTGGGTTTCCTGCCTCTTTCTGCAAAGTATATAGCCTAGTCTGTTTTGATTGTTATTTTTTAATTGTGAACATTAATTTAAGAATATTTTAGCAGATAGCAGTGTCAGAGTAGTACTAGTATATGCTGTATTGATTACAACTTAAACCTGTAGGCTACTCAGTGGTTTTGTATTACAATTGCTGATTTGGGAGAGAGAAATCACCATAAAGTCAATTCAAGTGACTGTAAATTTAAATTGGAGTTGGATGCCTGTTGTTATTTATTATTGACATAAGACCAAACGTGTACATTTTATAAACTGCACGTAGAGGATGGAAGACATCCAGGTAAACCCGATGGCATTTCATGGAGAAACATCTATAATTCGTTTTTAACCAACGCCAAAAATATAGAATTCCACGTTTACCAAAGTTGCATTGACTTCTAGTCAATCATCATACCACTGACAAAAAGTCAAGCCAATTCAGCCGTGAATTAACCCGTTTTTTCTCCCAGACAGACGCTGCCTTTATAAAACTAACATCGGTTTCAAACTGTTGCCTGCTAGCTCAAACAATATTAAAGCTAGTTAAATGTCATGTTTTTAACGTAAAATATGTAAGTTAGCAAACGTTCAGTCGGGCTAAAAGAGAAACGTCCATAAACTACATAATGTAAAAATAAAAGAGCAAACAAAGCTAGGAAGGTAAACAGAGAAACACTCACCACACCATCCCGTAGGCTCCCTCTCCGATGTAGGAGAGGTTGGTGTACCGAGGCCCGACGTCGAAGGCCTGTCCGCGGACTAGCTCCGTCCCCGACCCGGGGCTGGGGCCAGCAGGGGCAGACACAGCAGCTGTCGCCATTATGAGCCTTCTTGTTTCTGAACGAGACTATCAAATACAAAAAACTGGAACTAAGACTAGAAAACAGTTATATGAGTGTTATATCCTTCGTCGCTGTGAACACGTTAGAGGCCTTCACTTTGAGTGTTTTCTTCTTCCCGTCAGAGTGCGTTCAGAGCGGCCACACCACTGCTGTGCAGGAGCGAGTGGCGGAGAAGTGGCTACTGCTGCAGGAAATAACGGAGGCGGTCATGTGATCCGCTGTTTTCTTTTTTTATTTCCCTCTTTACTTTTTGGATGGTCAGAGAAGCCTCCAGGTATTGCTTCCACTCAGCAGGACAAGCTATACAGTAAGGTTGATGTAAACGCACTATCCAGTTCCTTCAGCCTACTTAAAGGTAAACTTTAGGAGTCTATTTTGATGGTTGATATTTCTATGATCCAAATTATTAGTAAGCCTGGGCTACACATGAACAACTCTTCACCTATACAAAATCCAGATATTATGTTTTTTATTAATATTAGGATATTGCTACCAAATTACATGGCATGAAAATAAAAACTAACCATTGTTATTGGACCTTTGAAAACAGCAAAGGGCTATGTAAAGATCAGGGGATCTAGATGGGGCAATCAAAACACAATTCCAAAAAGGAGATTGATCAATGCAGGACCCTAAAAATGTATAATAGGGCGCAGAACACTGAGAAAACTGTTACTGCACTGAAATGTAAAATACCTGCTTTTAATACTAGCCTACTTCATAGTATGTTAGTAGTATTAGCAAAAAGTACTTTATATCAACAGTATTAATGTACAGTTAAATGCTTACTTTTTTCTTACATACATGTACACTGTACAGTGTAAGGAAAAAACTTGGGTCAACAGCTTCCTCAGACAATCCAACATAAATATATAAAAGACATAAAACAAATTTAAAATAAACCAATAAAAGTAGTTTAGGAAAAGCTTAGTTATTAAGCAGTATTATGGCCTGTGGGACAAAACTGTCCCTAAGTCTGGTGGTCTTTGTCCCGATGCTGTGGTACCGCTTGTCAGACGGCAGCCGCTGGGTGTAGAGGTCCTCCATGGATGACAGCTCCGTCCTGGTGATGTGCTGTGCAGTTTTCACCAGCCTTATGGTTGAGGGCGGTGCAGCTGCTGTACCAGGCCGTGATGCAGCCGGTCAGGATGCTCTCTATGGTGCACCTGTAGAAGGTCAGGATGCTCTCTATGGTGCACCTGTAGAAGGTCAGGATCCTCTCTATGGTGCACCTGTAGAAGGTCAGGATCCTCTCTATGGTGCACCTGTAGAAGGTCAGGATCCTCTCTATGGTGCACCTGTAGAAGGTCAGGATCCTCTCTATGGTGCACCTGTAGAAGGTCAGGATCCTCTCTATGGTGCACCTGTAGAAGGTCGGGATGCTCTCTATGGTGCACCTGTAGAAGGTCAGGATGCTCTCTATGGAGCACCTGTAGAAGGTCAGGATGCTCTCTATGGTGCACCTGTAGAAGGTCAGGATGCTCTCTATGGTGCACCTGTAGAAGGTCAGGATCCTCTCTATGGTGCACCTGTAGAAGGTCAGGATGCTCTCTATGGTGCACCTGTAGGAGGTCAGGATGCTCTCTATGGTGCACCTGTAGAAGGTCAGGATACTCTCTATGGTGCACCTGTAGAAGGTCAGGATCACCAAAAGAGCTCGACAGCGGCTCTTCTTCCTCCGCAGGGGAGGAAGAAGAGCCGCTGTCGAGCTCTTTTGGTGATGGTCTTAGTGTGATGAGTCCATGTCAGGTCCTCAGTGATGTGGACCCCAAGTAACCTGAAGCTGCTGACTCTCTCCACCGTAGTCCCATTGGTGGCGATGGGGGCGTGTCCCTCTCTCTGCTGCTTCCTGTAGTCCACAATCAGCTCCATGGTTTTGCTGACGTTGAGATGGAGGTTGTTATCCTGGCACCAAGATATCAGAGTTCTGACCTCCTCTCTGTATGCTATCTCGTCGCCCTCGATAATCAGGCAGATTGCAGTCGTGGCGTCTGCAAACTTGATGATGGTGTTGTCGTGTGTGTACAGGGAGTAGAGGAGTTAACTCCACAGTTAGTATTTACTTTTTACATATCAAAAACACATGATATGATCAACTACTGTAATACAAATGTCCCCAATATCTTCTGAAGTCTCTAAAAAAGCTCCACACTGAGAAACGACAACACTAAGATTATATGACACATATTTGTTGGCAATACAAATATAATATAATATGCTAGAATAATAAAATATTCGAATATAGGCCATTGTGCTTAACTAGTAAGGCAAGGCAAGGCAAGTTTATTTATATAGCACCTTTCAACACAAGGCAATTCAAGGTGCTTTACAAAAATGAAAGACATTCAGACAAAGGCATTTAAAAACAGTAAAAGATAATAAAAGAAACATTAAAAGAAAAAATACATGAATAAAAAGTACATGAATAAAAAGTTACAGTGCAGTTTAAGATATGAATAGTTCACACAGAAATTCCACTTTACTGATGAACACAACAGCTCAGTTTCAATTAAAAGCAGCGACAAAAAGATAAGTCTTCAGCCTGGATTTAAAAGTAGTAAGAGTTGTAGCGGACCTGCAGGTCTCTGGGAGTTTGTTCCAGATATTTGGAGCATAATAACTGAACGCTGCTTTACCACGTTTAGTTCTGACTCTGGGGACAGAAAGCTGACCAGTCCCTGAAGACCTGAGAGATATGGATGGTTCATAATTTAGCAGAAGATCAGAAATGTATTTTGGGCCTAAACCATTCAGTGCTTTATAAACCAGCAGCAGTATTTTGAAATCTATTCTTTGACACACAGGAAGCCAGTGTAAATACTTCAGAACAGGAGTGATGTGATCCACTTTCTTAGTGAGGACTCTAGCAGTGGCGTTCTGAATCAGCTGCAGCTTTCTAATAGATTTTTTAGTGAGACCTGTAAAGACACCATTACAGTAGTGAAGTCTACTGAAGATAAAAGCATGGACACGTTTTTCCAAATCCTGCTGTGACATTAGTCTTTTAATCCTAGATATGTTCTTTTGGTGATAGTAGGCTGATTTAGTCATTGTTTTAATGTGACTGTTGAAACTCAGGTCAGAGTCCATGACTACACCTAGATTTCTGGCTTTATCTGTTGTTTTGAACATTGCAGACTGAAGCGCAGCGCTAACTTTTAATACGTTCTGCCTTGGCTCCAATGACCATTACCTCAGTTTTGTCTTTGTTTAATTGGAGAAAGTTCTGACACATCCAGTCATTGATTTGTTCAATGCACTTACTCAGTGTTTTAACTGGAGAATAGTCTCCTGGTTAAATGGTTATGTAAATGTGTGTGTCATCCGCATAGCTATGGTAACTTATTTTGTTGTTTTTCATTATCTGAGCCAGTGGTAGCATGTAGATGTTAAAGAGAAGAGGCCCCAAGATGGAGCCTTGAGGAACCCCACATGTCATATTTGTCAACTCAGATTTGTATTTACCTATAGAAACAAAGTTGTTTCTGTCCTTTAAGTAGGATTCAAACCAATTAAGAACTGTTTCCGAAAGTCCCACCTAGTTTTCTAGTCGGTCTAGTAATATGTTGTGGTCAACAGTGTCAAACGCAGCACTGAGATCTAATAATACTAACACTGAAGTTCTGCCACTGTCTGTGTTTAAGTGGATGTCATTGAAGACCTTTACAAGAGCAGTCTCAGTGCTGTGGTTTGGACGAAATCCCGACTGGAAAACATCAAAACGGTTATTTAAATGCAAGAAGTTACTCAACTGTTGAAAGACTACTTTTTCAATGATTTTACCTAGAAATGGGAGGTTTGATATAAGCCTGTAATTGTTCATTACTGAAGCGTCTAGATTATGCTTTTTTAAGAGCGGTTTAATGACTGCAGTTTTCAGGGCCTGTGGAAAAACACCTGAGTGAAGAGACTTGTTTACTATATGAAGTAGATCTGAGGCCATGCAAGGAAAAACATTTTTGAAAAACCCTGTTGGAATAATATCAAGGCAGCAAGAGGAGGATTTCAGAAGTTGTATAATGTCCTCTAGGTTTTTATCATTAATCTGATGTAATTGTGTCATGGTGTTTGAATTTATATTAGGTGGACACAGAGACAAAACATTTGCTGTTCCTGATGCAGAGGCACTGACTGCTTGTCTGATTTTCTGAATTTTGTCAGTGAAGAAGGAGGCAAAATCATTGCAGAACCAGGTGGATAGGAATTCAGAGGCTACTGACACTGGGGGGTTAGTTAGTAGGTCGACGGTAGCGAACAAGGCACGTGCGTTGTTTTTGTTTTCGGCAATGATATCAGAGAAGAAAGACTGTCGGGCAAATTTAAATTCCAAATTATAAAGGCCAAGTCTCTCTTTATAGATTTCAAAGTGCACCTGGAGATTTGTTTTTCGCCACCTGCGTTCAGCTTTTCGACACTCTTTTTTCTCTTTTCTCACAGTAGATATTTTCTTCCCAGTCACTTCCTTTACCTTAGTTGGAGCAATGGCATCTATAACATTTTTAATTTTTGAATTAAAATGATCTACTAGCTCATTTACTGAGATGTTAGCAGGGGCAAGTGTGGAAGAAAAATTCTGAGTAAACATTTCCCTAGTGTTTTCAGTTAAATATTGCTTTGTGGTTACCTCTTTTTGAACATTTTTGTGAACAGAAATAGAGCTCTCAAAGAAACACAGGAATGATCAGAGAGTGCAACATCAGTCACCACAACCTCAGAGATATTCAGACCCTTTGAGATAATTAAGTCCAGAGTGTGCCCCTTATTGTGCGTGGGCTCCGCCTTCGTCACATGCTGAGTCAGTCCATAGTTATCAAGAACACAAAACAGTTCTTTAGCCCCTCTGTCCTGGGGGTTGTCAACATGGATGTTAAAATCACCAACAATGACTAGACGGTCAAAGTCAATACACACTATACAGCAGTTCAGTAAAGTCATCAAAAAAGCTTGCACAGTATTTGGGTGGTCTATAGATATTTAGGAACAGAGCTCGAGAGGAGCATTTCAGCTGAAGGGCCACATATTCAAAAGAAGCAAAGTTCCCATAAGATGTCTTTCTGCATTGAAGGGAATCATTGTACAAAATAGAAACTCCACCTCCTCTCTTATGCATTCTTTCCTGACTCATAAAACTAAAGTTGGGAGGGGTTGATTCGATAAGAACAGCTGCACTGTTATTTTGTTCAATCCATGTTTCC